CAACTGTGAAATTACATTTCATCTCTTAAAAAAAAAATCAGGAACTATTCTGTAAGTCAGCTGAGCAGTTCTGTCATTTACAACTGTCTGATTTTGGTGTCTCTGTTTCTTTAGTTGCAAAATATTCAATTCTGGTCTTGAAACACATTTGAAGGCCAGTGTTCTGAAACCCAACAGGGAATTCTAAAAAAGAAAAGCTTAGCTTTAGCAGCGTCTCAGAACAGAAAGATTCCTTCCAAAGGAAACAAGGGCACCATGGCCATCTTTTGTTCCTGTCCATGGCCACATACCCCATGCTTGCCACCAGTGGCGGGAGGCCACTGGGAGGGATTCGGAGTCAGTTTTTTAATGTGTTCCTTCAGCTTTAAATCATAAAAGCAAATAAATGGGGAAAGTCACCTCCTTGAAGAACTAGTTCCAAAACTACTAATTAAACTATACCACAAAAGAGCAGCGCACGTGACTGAAGCTGACATTTGCCAGTATGGTTTTAGTCAAGTATTTAAATGAGCACCAGTGACCAAACATAAAGGTACTGATGAGCTACTGCTGCTTCAAAAAATACATCTTCTGAGTGATTTTACCTCCTTTCCCTGTCCACTTTGGTTTGTGGCTTGTTTGATTTTAAATAACTAGTAATAATTGTGTATATTTTTAAATAATTGCATAAAAAATAGTTCAGCATGGAGTACCTTGAAATGAAGATATTATATGTGGATACCATTAAATGTGAATGGTATTAAATGTGGATAATTAAAAACTGCCTTGCAATGAGTATATTCAAGGCTGCTTTAAGTAAACTGAACCCAGAGAGAAAGCCATTGAACCTGTGTGACCCGGCCCACAGACTTCTACCACTTACTTGTCTTGGAGTTCACAGTATAGAGGGAGAATTGGCCCTGCCCATATTTGAAGCGAACAGTGTACCAGAGGAAGCAGCAGGAAAATAGGGGACAGACTTTTACATAATCCATCCTTGAAAATATTTGGGGTGGGGGGCAGGTTTTGGTTGGTTGGTTGGTTGGTTTTTTGTTTGTTTCTGAGATAGTTGTCTGTCTTTGTTGCTCAGGCTGGAGGGCAGTGACACAATCACGGCTCATGCAACCTAGACCTCCTGGGCTCAACTTATCCTCCCATCTCAGCCTCCTAAGTGGCTGGGACTATAGGTACAAGCCACAATGCCTCACTAATTCTTATATTTTTTATAGAGATGGGAGTCTTGTGTATTGCTTAGGCTGGTCTCAAACTTTTAGCCTTAAGCAGTTCTCCCACCTTGGCCTCCCAAAGTACTAGAATTACAGGCATGAGCCATGCACTCAGCCAAGGGGCTAGTTTTATGGGATGATTTGAGCATTGGTTTATAGTTTAAAGAAGAAAGGCTAGCAGTTACTCCTTCAATTGTAGGAAAAGTTGGACAAAAATTTGGGTAGAAATGTATTTATTAATAGTCATTTAGCATCTGCTTGTGACAGCAGTATGTGAGAACCTCGGGGTGCAGACCTGCCCTTGAGTTATGCATGGTTTATTGGGAGACAGTCATGCAGAACCAGAGCCAAGTTCAGAGTGCTGTCAGGGGCTATGGTTAGAGCAAGGTTAATTCTGTGTGGTGGGTCCCTTCACATGCGATGTCAGAGCACCTGCTGTGTGCCAGACAATGTACTAGACATTGGAGGTAAGACACAAGCTACAGTCTTTGCTGTAAGGGACCTGATTGTGTGTGTGTTGCTGGAGGAAGAGTGCAGTCATGAGTTTTCCTCCTGGGCATGTTGTTATTGAAAGGCCTTTGAAACATCCAGGGGGGATGGCAGGAAGGCAGTTGGATGTGTGAGTCTGGGGCTTAGGGCATAGGCCTGGACAGGGAATCAACTGTGAATGGGATCCCTTGAGGCTATGGGTGTGATTGAGGTTTCCTAGAAAGAAGAAGTTCTAGAGCCAAGCCTGAGAAGCACTGGCATGAAGGAGCCTAGAAGAGGAGGCTGAACTTGGGAAGGAGGAACTGGCACCAGTCTATCCAGAACACTCCTGTGGCATGACCAGAAGCAGCAGAGATGGATGCATTTGCCTTATGTGCATTCGCTATGATTCGACTCTTCTGTCTTGTTCTCCTGAAGTCCTTTTCTCAAATAAGCTTTTTCTCATTGGAAGTGATTAGGCATGCAAAGAACTTGTTGCAGAGGTGATTTTTAAGAATCTGGTTTCATGTTGTATCAGTGTTCTTCAGTTCTCTGTGACATACTTGTTGCAAAACGAAGTAACTTCCTCCATCATTGCTTGACAACTAGACTGTTAGTGCCTCCTTTCCCCTTTTTTTCTAGTCTTAATGCTGGATTGTCTTCCTGTAAGAGATGTAATTGGAATGGATTAATGGTGGGAGGGAGGGTTTGGAGACTATTTTTGGTTCTCTTTTGCTTTAATGTGGTGCTGAATACTGGTAACGCATTAAATCACCAGTCCTTTAATCAGGAATTATATGTCTATTCTCTTGTCTGGTACCTGTTCTTTAGAATGAAAAAATCCATGTTAAATCAAAAGACCTTTTAATGCAGAGGCATTTCTTCCTTTCTTTTGCAAATACTCTGTGTGTCATACGTTAAGACAGGTCCTAGGGAGATACTGGTGAGCAAAGCTGACGTGGTTCAGGTCTCAGCTACGGCTGCTGTAACAAAATACTGCAGACCTGGTAGCTGAAAAGCAGACTTGGATTTCTCACAGTTCTGGAGGCTGGCAAGTTCAAGACTGAAGTGTCAGCCGTTTGGGGACGTTTGTGGGAGCCCTCTTCCTGGCTGTAGACAGCCATCTTCTCCCTGGGTCCTCACATGGTGTTTCCTCAGGGTTCGGTAGAGAGGGAAAAAGAACAAGCAACCTCAGGTCTCTCATACTTTTCTCATAAGGTCACTCACCCCATCATGTGGCTGCACCCTCATGACCCCATCTAAACCTGATTGCCTCCCAAAGACCCCACCTCCACACATCATCCACATATGAATTTGAGGTGGGGTCCCATAAACATTCAGTGCATGACAGTCCATGGCCTCAAATTGTCTAAGAGGAAGTCAGACAGAAATCAAGTAACCCCACAGTAAAAATAGGAGAATAGTGATACATGTGTTGATGGCACAACTCAGTTAAAGTTCTAAGAAGTCATGGTATTTATTGTCGTTGAAAACTGCTCACCAAGCACGTTAAATGTCTGTCCTTCTAGTGCTTCTGCAGGTCTGACCCATGCTCTAGTGTCTCGATCCCTATGCCTGTGTCACATGAGAGCATCGTAGACATGCCATCGGATACTTATTTTATCTGTTGATAGCCAAAATGTCACCTTTTTGTAAAATGCATTTGACTGTGTTTCTAGTAGTTTCCTCTAGTTTTCCTGTAAGCAGTATACACTAATGGATTCATTGCTACCCCGGGAGGGGGTGGGGAATTGTTTTAGCCTTTTTAAATTTGTAGATCATATTTAAAAGGATAAATTGATGAGCAGTTGATTTATTCTTAAGCAGCTCTGTACATTCTATGAAGTTAGTGCTTCTCAAATGAAGGGAATATCTTCCCTTACAATTAATTTATCTCAGGTGTCAGTATGTGTGCCCTAAAATTACTTCTTGATTGTCACTGACTTTCATTCATTCATTTAACAATAAAGTGCCCACTGTGTAACCAAAACTCTGTTAGGTGCCAGGGATATAGCTATGCTCAGTCTTTGCCCCCAAGGAGCTTAACGTCAAAATCTGAAGCAGAAAGAAACAAGAAGCGAAAAAGCCTTAAATAGCTTTCCCTTTGGATAAATTCTAGCCTTTCTAGTCAGACAGCCCTGACTTGGCTACTGAATGGCTTTGTCAACGCACTTGACCTATCTTAAGTTGTTTCTGTGTTTATAAAATGGAAATAACAACATGCATGATTGTTGCAAATCCCATTAGACACAAAAGATGTAAGGTTTTTAATAGCAACAGATGTAGAAACTACAGAGAACATCACACAAAGCAGAAGAGAACACAGCATCATGCTCCCCAGTGGCAGTCCTGCTGCCCAGGTCCCAAGGTTCCCTCAGGATGTCCAACTGTTAACGCCACTCATGTCAAGGGAGGCTTCCAGTGCTGTAAGGTGTTCCTTTGCTGTTTTCATGGAGGGGCATTAACACCCAACCAGCCTTCCTCTACCCTGATTGTTCCTCAGCTCTGGCCATGTGCCTGTCAGCACCACCCAGCATGCTCCTGGGTGCGTGCTCTGAGGAGGGAAGCTGGGGAGAATGTGTTGGGAGCAGACAGCAGCCCCTTAGCACAGCCAAAGACCCACCTGAGGGCCACAGGACAATGCTAGGACTGAACTCAGTTTTGACAATTAGTGAGGTAAAGCTTTGAACATAGTGTTTAGGTGCAAAGTAAGCACTTAATGGATATATTAATACCATTACTATATATCCTTAGATTATAATTAGTACATTAATACCATTATTACTCTCAGTGAAGTAAAACATTAGACATTAGAAAGAAAACATTATTTCAGGAGCATCTTCTTTTCCAAGTACAGTTAGATAACATGCTTACATAATCAAATGTACTTTCTCTTTGGTCAAACATAAGCCTAAACTTTTTCTTCTAAATTTGAGAAAATCATCACAATGAATTTTTGCTGCTGCTTCATTTTCTAGAAAAGTAAATGAATATTATATTTTCTTAACCCCTCTCTTCCAACTAAATAAAAGAAAAAAAAATCCTCAAATAGTGAAGTAGTGGTTTGCTGGTATTCTTTGAGAATGTCCGTGCAGCCTTGTATGTCCATCCTGCTGTTAGGCACATTTCATAGACGGGCTCAATTCTTAAGCAGTGGCCGGAAAGGCTTCTACTACCTGCTGTTCTGTGTGCCCACTCAGTTACTTAACTGGGTCTCTTTAGTTCTAAATCTGTTTTGTCCTCCTAAGACAAGTGTAAGCAGCAAAGTGTGTCAGGAACGACAACCCTTGCTGCCCCTCGGTCAAGGGCCCCGGTCCTGGGTTGCAGGTGCTGTTTGGCACAGCCGACGGGCAGGTGATCGTCATGGACTGCCACGGCAGGATGCTGGCCCATGTCCTGCTTCACGAGTCAGACGGTGTCCTCGGCATGTCCTGGAACTACCCAATCTTCCTGGTGGAGGACAGCAGTGAAAGCGACACAGACTCGGATGACTACGCGCCTCCCCAAGGTACTTGTTGGCTCCACTCTGCTTGTCATCTACCAGAAAGGCGAGAAGTGCATTTGAGGGGAGGGGAGCGTGGAGGGGGCCACCATATGCATGGCATCCTCGCTCTGGGAAGTGTGCTGGAGCCAAAACACAAGGCAGGACTGGCCTCCTCTCTGTTCTTGTTGAGTGTCTCCCCTCTGCTGTCCCTTTTCTCAGTCACTGGTCTAGTTGATTAAGCCACTGGCTTAGACTTTCCTGCATATTAAATGAGACATACGGCTCCTCCGGTGTCCCTGGGGTGTTGAGGCTTAGCTGCTTAGTGAGAATGAAGAAAGCTAAAGATGAAAAATTCTGTGCTATTATTATAACTTAATACATGGTCTACTCCAAATCCCTAATGTTATTAAAGCCTACAGCTTTAGTTGCATGAGAAAAGGATTAATTCTACGTTAATGAAGGCCAGCACCCACATCGCTGTCTGTCCTCTTTATTTCAGGCAGAAGTTCTCCCTCACAGATCGGAAGAACCTGCCGCCTCTCCCTGCAACCACTCTGGTGGTAGATAGCCTTTGTAGGGATAATTTCACATTTCAGCTCCATTACTTCTCTCAGGTCTCCAGAATCCACGTTTAGCATTGGCTTACTCGGGGATTTGACTGTATCTCATCCCAAGTACCCACCTTGTTTTTCTTAATTAACATATAATAATAGTACATAGTTATGGGGTGCACAGTGGTGTTTCAGTACTATAATGTATAGTGATCAGGTCAGGGTAGTTAGTATATCCATTATCTCAGGCATTAACATTTCTCCTTTCTACTTGTTGGGAACATTCAGCACCCTCCTTCGGGGTATTTGAAACTATATAAGATGTTACTGTTAACTGTAGTTATCCTACAGTGGTATAGAACACTAGAATTTATTCTTTCTGTCTAGCTGTAACCACCTCTTTATTTATTCATTTACTTTTTTTTTTTTTAAGTTGGATCTCACTGTGTTGCCCAAGCTGGAGTACAATGACACAGTCATGGCTCACCACAGCCTTGATGACCTCCTGAGCTCAGGCCATCCTTCATAGGATGGTATGTCCCACAGTGGCAGGAAAGGTTAGTGTGTGTCCTCTGACTGTGGAGGGCACACAGCAGAGTGAGCCCAGCTGCGCTCATGGCTTGACCTCCTGAGTTCAGGTAATCCTTCTGTCTCAGCCTACCAGGTACCTGGGATGACAGGTGGATGTCACCATGCCTGGCTAATTTTTTTGATTTTTTGTAGAGACAAAGTCTTGCTTTCTTGCTCAGGCTGGTCTCCAACTCCTGGGCTCAAGTAATCCTCCCTCCTCAGCCTCCTAAAGTACTGAGATTACAAGTGTGAGCCACCACATCTGGGTACCTCTTTTTTTTTTAAGGAAAATATGAAATGGTGGGAGGGACTGGCTTCTAGAGTAGAAGTGGCTATACTGCTGTAGGCTTCTGTCCTCGGCCCCTGCACAGCTGGGCTTATTCTGCTGTTTGCCCTTCATAGTCAGAGGACACACACTGGGTGGCTTTTAACCTTTCCTGCCACCATGGGACATATCATCCTATGAAGGGCTGGTCCAGGGAAAATTGTGTCTTCCCCATCAGTGTCTGTCTCTGTTAGTACTTGCAGTGTTCTTGTTTTTCTCTGTCCTGTCACAGAGATAATGTTTTGCTTCCCAGCAACATATGTATATGTGTACACACACATACTCATTCATGCATTTATTCCTTTTAGAAGGCATTGTTTACATATGAAAAACAATTAAGACTGGTAGTAGCTTTTCAGGATAAGTGAGTCTTGGGAGGGTGTTTATTGGTATTCCTAGCACCTGTAAATCCACTAAGTGGTTAACTGTCCCCTTTCCTAGTAGGATGCCAGCCTTGAGGGAAGTGTTGGTCATGTTTCTATAGCCTTGTGGTGATGAAGTCAATGTCGGTATGACATGGACTCATCATACTTTTAAAACAGATGTGTTTTACAAGGTTGAGTCCAGATTTACTTAGCCCCATTTTCATTTTTTTAAAATTAATTGGTTAATTTTAATACTTAACCCTGTTTGATAATTGAGAGAAACTTGGTCCAAAGACTAAGTACATGAGGGAAGTCCAGTGTAACTCCAAGAACAGAATTTAGTCTCTGATTGCTCCTCTCTCCTCTGACAAGTTATTCTTCTCAGATGCAATGAGACAATTTAGAGGATAATAGGTGCTCACCTTTTGGGGTAATGGGGCTCTTCCTAGCAGCCTAGGGAATGTCAGCACAGGTGCAGTGCAGTGTCCCAGCTTGAGGCAATGGGGAGTAGTCACTGGGCTTCCTTTGCAGGCAGCGGCCAGGCCCACCCTGAGGAAGGGCTCCATGTGGTTGTAAAGCCTGCAGGAGCCTTCTGAAAGAGCCTGACTCACTCAGGCATGTTGGAAGGACTTCTACTTGTTTAAGCAGCCTGTGAAAGGCTTGGTACATGGTCCATCATGGCCCCTTCCTTCACGTCTGGACAAGACTCCCTGAACTTACAAAGCAGGGTTTCTTTTCTGCCAGTCATGCTCTGCAGATGCAACTAGACTCCTTATGAGCCACATTCAAGCTCATCCTTGTCTCCAAATTTGGAGTCTCTGTAGTAAACCCCCAAGTACAAAGGAACTAATGGTGGCTGCTGAGCTCTACTCATTTCCTATAACAGTCAACGAAGGAGCATTGAAAAGCAACTTCCTCTGTGTGTTGAACCGGAATTAAAACATTTCCAGCCTTCTTCCCGCCCTCCTTGTATGTTGTATGACATGAAAATCACTTAGTTTATGCATCATTAGAAGCATATAACACATTAATATATGTTAATAAGTTTTTCATGCATGCTGTCACCACCCTGCAGTGGCCTCCACGGCTGTGTCTCCCATGTCCTGCTCTTCCCTCCATGGTTTTCTGTGCCCCAGATGGCCCTTGTGTCATTCTTAAAGGTCTTATTTGGCAACATCCCAATCCAGAGCAGGACCTGCATTATCAGGCAGTTTTTAAGGCACCACGTGGGACCAAAAGCCTTGGGAAACTGAGTTTGGGTTGTGTCTCACCTCCCAGTCACTTAGCACTTGTCTTCCCACAGATGGTCCAGCAGCGTATCCCATTCCAGTGCAGAACATCAAGCCTCTGCTCACCGTCAGCTTCACCTCGGGAGACATCAGTTTAATGAACAACTACGATGACTTGTCTCCCACTGTCATCCGCTCAGGCCTGAAAGGTACAGAATGCTGCATATACCCTAGCCCTGCAGATTGGCAGTATGCATCTTTGCCTTCCAGGCTGGTGTTGTATACCCAGTACTTATTGATTCCTGTCCTCTGTGTTGACCTCTTCTGGGAATAATGGAGTCTGTTAACTAAGGTCACTTCCCCTTAGCTCCTCAAGGGAGGGAGGGAGCTTATCTGAAAAGTACATACCTAGTCTTATCTCGAGGGGGGATTCCTGACATCCAGTCTCTGTTTTAACCTGCTCTTTTCTTCACCATGACAAAGATGATCCTCTTTCAGGTGTACAAGTGTGTTTGCATCTGGCTTACACCGTGTCTGTACAGTAATGGACTGCAGCACCTGCCATTCCTGAGGCAGCAGATGGTGTGCAAGACATCATTTACACAGAAACCTCTGTAATTTAAGAATCTGGCAGGCTTATTAAGGAACCGATCATTGTGCAGTAAAGTTACCTTGAAAGACTTGTGGAGGTTCCACAATTGCTAGACTGAGGTATTGATGTGAAGGGCAATGGTAAAGTGCTGGTACCTTCCTGATAGATGTTACAAAGTGTTATCTCAAAAGAAAATCAGTGGGCATAGGCATATGGAATGTTCAGAATTCAAGAATACTGCTGATGTTGTGACCCTGGTGAATTCTTTGGAAAAACAGTCTGTCTCTTTGGACTTCAGTGGTGCAATGTGGAAAGGTTTTAAAATTCAATACCTGGCCTGCTTCTGGCCCTTGATGTTAAAAGGACCTACTATAATCTGAGTGGGGAGGTAGCAGATAAGCTAAGACCTTTGGTACTTTGGTAACTGTCATTCAAAGCTGACTGTCAGTCTAGAGAGTCTTTGCCATGTGTTGCTGCTGCTTGTCTGAATTATTCAGGCATCACAGGGATATAGAGATTCAAATCCATAAACTTAACTGTTGGTTGGCAGGAATTAGACCAGCCTCCACACCCCTCAAGCACTTCTTAACTCTATTTTAAAACTATAGAATTTTTTTTTTTTGAATTGGAGTCTCACTCAGTCATCCAGACTGGAGTGCAGGGACCGCTCCCAGCCACCACAGCCTCGCCTGCTGGGCTCCGGATCCTTCCGCCTCAGCCTTCCGAGTAGCCGGAATTACAGGCATGCGCTACCACACCCGGCTGATTTTTTGATTTGTTGTAGAGATGAGGTCTCGCTGCCCAGGCGGGTCTCGAACCCGCGGGCTCAGGCAATTCACTCACCTCAGCCTCCCAAAGGCGCGGGATTACAGGCTGAGCCACCAAGCCCAACTAACTATAGAATATTTTAAGAAGCAAATTATACTCTCTTTTTTGGGTATCCCAGTCTATTGTTTCAGAACTACAATCATAAGAAATTATTTAGCTTATAAACTCCTGAGGGACATGAACTACGTAGAGGTCCTTCTTTATACCACAGCTAGGCCCCAGTAGGAACTGAGTAAGTACTTTTTGTGATGGTGATAATGAACTTTAAATTCCTTATGCTTTTCTGTAAGTTATTTTCTGAATATTTTGTTTTTAATGGAGGTAAAATATAGGAATCGTTATCATAAATTTTCCCATGTTTTTAATAATCCAAGTTCAATTTTTCTCTTCAAAAATTCTATTTTTAAACCTTATAACTGAGTTTATTAATTTTTTGAGAGCCTACCTCTAGATCTGGAATCCTGAACTTTGGTTCTTTATCAAATGTATCATCTCTATCATGTCTGTCAAATTAGACTGTACTGGAGTACCACTTCTAACATGCTTCAACCAAACTTGCAACAGAACAGGAGCACTTATTAGGTGACTTGGAGAGGTGACCCAAAGTGGTCCTCCCAAATAAGGAATTTTTTTACTTGAGTATTATACTAAACATTCGAGCAAATTTAGCATTCTAGTCCTTACTTAACTAGCTATCTAAATCTAACCTAAAAATGTTTCAATTAGTCACACTTTCATGTGAAGAGATGCTTTTGTTCTGTTTCTTTTGAGTTTCAGAAAGTTAGATTAAATGGAAATGAACTGGTACTGTCCATTAGGTGTTGTGGGGTAGAGGAAAGGATCCCTTCTGTCCTCTCTGAAGGTTTGCCAAAGTGACTGACAATAGACAAATTAATAGGAGAAAAAGCATATATGTTTATTAACAGGCATAAACAAGGAGCCTATAAAATATGAGATTCAAAGAAAGGCCAGATGATTGATACTTATATATCCTTTTCATGGGGGGAGAGGGAAATGGGAGCTCTAGGCAATTGTGATGAGTAGTAAGTGATTTTTAGGGGAAGTGAATGGACCTAGGAGGTAGTTGTTATCTTGTAAATGATTATCTGAAACTGAATGTGACTGGCAAGTTCTGGGGAAAGTAAGAGGTGGAACTGTACTGTGAACAAAGGTTGTCTTATTATGTAGATGAAGTCTCCCAGGTAATCTCTTAGAGCAACCCTCAGAAGAACAGATGAAAAGTCTGAGTGTGGTGATGACTTTTAATCTTTTCTCTGGTAGTTAAATGTTCCCTGGTTATTTGATGAGATTCCTAGCCCGGCAGTCCGATTGCATTTTTCCTTAGATCAGGAAACTCCAGAAAGAGTCCCTCCCTGCATTCAGCAGGGTGGAGGGAACAAGATTTGAAAGTCCTTGGTTCTGAGGCAGGTTCTAAAGCCTTCCAGTTTCTTTCATATTCAAAGTGCTAACATTCCGAAGCCCCGTATCAGAGGGTCTCTTTTTCTGCGTCACTACAGTGTTACAGACAATTGCTCTTTTCTGTCTTGGTATTAGAAGATTTTAAGGACTCAGTCTTACATGTGGTATGAATAGCAATTGTTCTTTGTTTTGTAATTTGTTCATTTTTTTTATCCTCTACCTTATGGGCTATGTTAGTAAATACTGGGAAGAGACGACCAGAATGCTGTCAGAGATGGCACATGGCAACATTTTTCAGCCACAGAGTCATCTGTTCTTTTACAGACAGGTTGGTCACTGTCTCATAAGGTAGACTAAAAAGGTCTCTGATCTACTTGGTTTTTCTTTGTTATGGTCTCAAAGGAATATCGTCAAAGGACGTTTGCAGTGGTGAAAAGTGACTCATGATACTGTCTAGTTTATCACCAGCACTGTAATGTGTGTCATGTGCAGAAGAACTTAGAATTCCAAGTAGCTCCTAGTCCCAGGACTCTTCCGTATCAGCTAGCATACTTCATTTTCACTGCAGATTTATATGTGGGTGCCAGGGCTGGGTTCTGGGGGAGAGGGTGGGAGCCCTGCATTTGCTTTCCTATTGTTTGCTGAGGAAGTTCTGCCTTGGGAAGAAATTCTGAGTAACTCAGCTTTGGGGATTTCTGTTCATCGAGTAGTAAGTTTGGTTTACTTTACGTGACTTTTTTACCCTTTGTCGTGACTTTTATTCGTTCTTCCGGAAAACAATTCAGCCATGAGTTCAGAAATTCTCTGCCCAAGCCAGTTCATCTCTCAGTATAAAGCAGCCTCCCAGAGGCACTTCTGATTTCATCCTGCACTTGCCTGGAAATGAAAGTGCTAAAGCCCCTGGGCTTTGTTTGTTGGTTCTGTTTTGCAGAATTTCATCTTTTTATCATTTCATTGAGCACACTGAGAAAATCCAGAGGGGATTTTTGCAGTGGGGTGGTTTTAGTCAGTGCTGCTCTCTGCTCCTGCAGCTTGGCCTGATACAGATTTGTTGCCATTGCCTTCCTTGAAAACATGCCCTTTTTTTCAGTCCTTACTATGCTCACTAAAAACTTACTCCTTAAACAAAATGTACCTGTTATTTTACCATCACACACTTTGCTAATTCGTTTCTATCTCCTCCCTCTCCCCTCTCCCTCTCTCCCTTCCTCTTCCTCCCTCTTCCCTCCTTTCTCCCTTTTTTCTCCCTTTCATTTCCCCTCCCTCCCTCCTTCCTTCCATCTGTCCCTCTTTTTCTCTCACTTCCCCTTCTTCCCCCTCCCTCTTTACCCCCTCAACCCACATGCATGTGTACACACACACATATACATACATCTAATGACTAATAAAAAGGTAAATTATTAACATAGTAATCTAAGGGACAAAGGACTGAGTTAACCAGACTCCCAACTGGTAGCCACAATATGTGTGGTGTTTGTTAAGAGCATAGCTCTTTTTCTTTTCTTTTTTTTTTTTTATGAGTTGGAGTCTCACTCCGCTGCCCACTGGAGTGCAGTGGCTGCTCCCAGCCACCGCAGTCTCAACCTGCTGGGCTCCGGCGATCCTTCTGCCTCAGCCTTCCAAGTAGCTGGAACTACAGGCATGCGTGACCACACCCAGCTAATTTTTTTTTTTGATTTATTGTAGAGATGAGGTCTCGCCAAGTTGCCCAGGCGGGTCGCAAACCCCCAGGCTCAGGCAGTCCACTCACCTCAGCCTCCCAAAGGCATGGGATTACAGGCTGAGCCACCGAGCCCAGCTTCTTTTTCTTTTCTTTTCTTTTTTTTTGAGTTGGAGTTTCACTCTGTCATCCAGGCTGGAGTGCAGTGACACACCCACGGCCACCCCAGGGGTCGACCTGCTGGACTCAGGTGATCCTTCCACCTCAGCCTTCCAAGTAGCCAGAACTACAGGTGCACGCTACCACACCTGGCTAATTTTTTTTTTTTCTGCGTTGGAGTCTCACTCCGTGGCCCAGGCTGGAGTGCAATGGCATGCTTACGGCCACTCCAGCGTCGACCTACTAGGCTCTGGTGATCCTTCTGCCTCAGCCTTCCAAGTAGCGGGAACTACAGGCGTGCATTACCACACCCAGCTAATTTTTGATTTATTGTAGAGATGAGGTCTCACCAAGTTGCCCAGGCTGGTCTTGAACCCATGGGCTCAGGCAGTCCACTTGCCTTCCAAAGTGCTGGGATTACAGGCTTGAGCCACCCCGCCTGGTCCACAGCTCTTTTTCTGTTAAATGTTACTTGCTTCTTTTTTGACTCGGCGCTAATACCTCACAAGAAGCTTCTTCTTAACACAAAAGAACTAAATTTTCGTATCACTGACTACATATAACCTTCCAGGCTTTTACCAAAAAAGATCCAAAGTAAAGTAAAGTAGTGTACAACCGCTGATTTTCTTTGTGTAAAACATAAAGAGAACAAAACCCACACATACCCCCAAAATTATTGAGAAAACTCTCCTTCAGGGGGATGGCCCTCTTTTATGCCTTGGAACTGCTCACGACCCACATGAGAGGCATCTGAGCCTGTGCCAGGTAGCTTCAGGAAAAGTGAAAAGATGGCTACTGAATAGAACGTCATTTACTCCTTTTAGATCATATTCTGAAAGAAATTTTTAGAGATTCAGACAAATAAGATTACTACTGAAATCTTGGGCAAAGAACCTAGGTAGTATTTTTTAAAATAAGGCAAACATAGTGTACAAAAAAATTCTGAAACAGAGGTTCTGTCCTGACCAGATCTCAGTTTCTTATCTTCTCCTCATCAGAGTGACATCTAGAAATTGAATGAATTTTTTTTTTTAACTTTCATTTTCCATGAATTTGTGAGAATTTTAAACTCCAACCCTAGGAATTCAGCCTCTGCAGTGCTCACATACCTTTGGTTGACATTGAACAATTCAAGTTTATTCTCTCTTGGTCGCTCTCCTGAATTCTTCATGTCATGGTTTTATGAGCAAGCCTATTTCCCTGTTACTGCTGTGCCTGTCATGGCACAGGACTGCTCCATGCTAAATGTCAGACGGGCCCACAGCTGTGTGTCCCTTGATGCTGCTAGTTCTGTAATCATCAGAATAAGAAATGACTTTATTCATATGGAATTTATTCTTTTTTAAAAGTGTGACTTGCCTGTGTAGGTAACTTCTGTCTCCGTATAACTTGTGCTTCTGCATTAAAGAGTTCCCTGAGAGTTTGCTCATTAATATTTGGACTGATTCTTGCCTCAGACAGAGAATTCATCTAGTTAGTGCCAGAGCCCCTGGGGCATGCCCAGAGTTTACTTGCTGAGTCTCTGAGTAGTCTGAACACATTGTGTGCTCACACTGTGTGTCTCAGTCAGCCCTGCAGGGACAACAACCCACTTTTCTGTTGGGGACAACCACCTTGTGACACAATTCAAAGAATCTTATTTTAAAAATAAATGAAGGCTTGGCTTGGAGGCTCAGCTTGTAATCCCAGCTCTTTGGGAGACCGAGGTGAGTGGATTGCCTGAGCCTGCAAGTTCAAGACCAACCCGGACAACTTGGCGAGACCTCATCTCTACAATAAATCAAAAATCAGCCAGGCATGCTAGCACGTGTCTGTAGTTCTGCCTACTTGGAAGGCTGAGGTGGAAGGATCGCCAGAGCCCAGCAGATCAATGCTGGAGTGACTGAGTGTGCCATTGCACTCCAGCCTGGGCGACAGAGTGAGACTCCAACTCAAAAATAAATAAATAAATAAATAAAAGAATGGTAGAGTTATTCACTCACCCACTGACCAAAGCAGGTCAAATGAGGAGCCTTGAAGACCTAGTGTTGTCGTCTTCCTTCACTTACACAGTATTACAGTGAGATTTCTGTCCTGGGAAACTTTCAGCTGTCCTCTCTGCCACCTCTTTGCCTGTTAATGTCAGTTGCTTCTCCTTTTGATTTCCTTGTATACCCAAATCTTCTCTCCAGAGAATTCATGTCTGTTTCCTGCTCATGACCAGGCTTTTCCTCTAGTTAGACCTGGGTGTTGAGCTCTCCGAGCTCATTTATTAAGTGCTCAAATCCTCTCACTTCTTCCTCCCATCTGTGAAAAGATCTTATTTGCCAGGGTATTTTCTGGATGCTTTTACATGATTTTTCAGTTTCCTGGTTTGTACTTAACTTTATTCCTATCCTTTTATTGGGGGGGTACACTTTATTGATGCTTTTACTGTGTCAGATTGTTAGCATGTTTTCCACTTTGTGTTTGTCTGTAACTGCTTTTGCTCAGCCTTCTTTGTCTCCCTAGTATCTGTTCTATGGCTAGCTTAATGAGAAAGCCCTGGGTTCTCTGGGTCTGGAAAACTGTCTTGCCCCAGGGAACTCTCTCCAGTTTTCAAGGGAGGTGGAAACACATCAGTGACCTCAGAACGTGTTAGCAGGAGCATCAGAGTCATTATTGTACATGAAGAAGAGGGCTCCTGTTGTCCTTTGTGTCCTGATGGGGTGCCTGAGCTGCTGAATTCCAGCCCCTGCTCTGAACTACTATAGACCCATCAAGGCAAAGTATTTTCTTTAAGTTCTGTCCAAATTGAACCATTTAGTTCTGGATTTCAGAGATCTCTGTGTAAACCAATATTATGGTGTTAGGGTCTTGAGGGAGAAAAAAAATATGCCATAAATCCTATTAGTACTAGTAACTTTTTTACCAGCAATAAGTAAGTAAATTGCTCACGTTGGTATAAGATACCATTTAATAGCTGTTTCTCATCAGCACTGAGCGGCTTGTAGGTGGGCATTAAATCTCCAGAAAATTCCTCTGGCAGTACTACCACCTAGCAGGAGGATTGTTGTCTTTTCTAAGCCCCCATTCATCATCCTGTGTTGAATGAAAAGTCAGAGGCCTCACATACATGCATGTTATAGCCTTTATATGAAGTTTATCTGCCCAATGAGACCCAGAAATTAAATGAATATAAACTTAGGCTTTGCTTTTGTTTTACTTTTAGCATTTAGAAGCTCTTTGAGCCATCTGTAATAGTGGAGGACACAGCAGTGGGACAAGCACTTATGTGACATACAGCCACAAGTTTTATTATCTTGCTTTCTCCAAAATAAAAAAAGTTCTGGAAGTCTCATTATGGAAATGCTGGTATTGGAGATAGATATTTAACATGCCAACTTTATTATATCTGGGTTTGTACCTGATTTTGTTGTTTCAGGGGAACTGCAATCCCCATTCATGTAATAAACACCGGTAAAGAGGAGTCTGTCATATGCAAAGAAGTGGGTCATTGTTCTCATGAGAGAACAGGGAAGAGCCACTGTTGTATTTGCTCAGTGTCTCTGTTTTTTAAAGTATTGATGACAAACAGTCACCTTGCTGAGTAACAGTTGAGGGAAGGCCATGCCCTCATGCTGACCCTCTCTTCTCTGTGGTTTCAGAGGTGGTGGCCCAGTGGTGCACGCAGGGGGATTTGCTGGCAGTCGCTGGGATGGAACGACAGGCCCATCTTGGTGAGCTTCCCAACGGTCCCCTTCTGAAGAGTGCCATGGTAAAGTTCTACAATGTTCGTGGGGAGCACATTTTCACACTGGACACACTTGTGCAGGTAAGGACGTGCTTAAGAAATTGGGTACATAATCTCATTGGCTGCTTTCAAGAAGTGACACCACGATGTTGGTATCCGCTAGTTTGTTAAATACTTATGAGTAGGTTATACTTATTGTAATTATCTTTGACAAATTTTATTTTACTTTTTTTGACCTTAATTGAATTATGGAATATAAACCAGGAGAAATAAGGGAGAAAGCAGTTCTGGTCTTTTTACCAGAATGCTCTATTCCATTTTCCAGTCAAATGACCAGATAGTGAATAAGCAGACTCGACTGGTGTTTATCAACAGTCTGAAGTGGAAATCAGAATCTTTCACAAATAAATGCCGAATCTTCATTTATTCACTTGTAGGGGAGAATAATAATTTTCATTTCTACCTTTCACAAGTTCTTAGCTGGGACTCCCTGTAACAAAAAGTAGAATAACAGAAGAAAAACAAACAGAAGTCTGATAAAATGTATACCTCCTGTGTACATGGACATTAGCCTAGAGAAATGAGTAAATCTCTAGATCAGCTCAGAAGACTGTCTTAGACTTCAGGTGTAAATGCTTTGCTGAAACAAGTAAAGAAGGGTGTGATTGGAAAGGCCCAGTTTTAAAAAGCCTTATTAAACAAAGGAGAGGTTTGATTTTGCATATTTAAGCCAGTGCCTTTTCTCCTTTGATTAAGAGTCTCCAGCAGTTCAGTCATCCTTTTCCGGTGCAGAGAGGGAAGGAAACACTCCTACAAATGGAGACTTCTTTTTTTTTTAACATATTTTTTATTTTAAAATTGTGGATTACAGTTAAGGGTTTGGTATACAAATATGCATTGTGCAGGTACACTTGTTGAGAGGTGTGCTCTCCCGTCCCCAGACAGATATTGACTACCATTAATCCCACCTCCCTTCCCCTCCCTGCCCCCTCATAGGTTCCCGCCACTGTCAATCCTTTTCTTATAGTATTACAATAGTTGTTCAAGGTCCACTTATGAGTGAAAACATGTGATATGCAGATCTTTGTTTCTGTGAGAGATCATTCAGTATTATAAACTCCAATTCCATCCAGGTTGCTGCGAAATTCATGATTTTGTTCTTTTTTATGGCTGCGTGATACTCATTGTGTATATGTACCACATTTTTTAAATCCAACCCTCTTTTGATGGACAGCATGGTTGGTTCCATAATCTTGCTATTGTGAACAATGCTGCGATAAACATACATGTGCAGGTATTTTTTTTTTTTTTATTTTGAG